GCTGGATCGTCTTTAACGGCAGTGATTTAACAGCAGTGATCTGTGAACTGGCATTAGAGGTGAGATATGGAAATGGAAAACAGAAAAACAAGGCACCTAAGACTTGATCAGCACAGAACAGTGAACACAAAGCGTAAGAACATTTCTGGGGTTCTGTGTGTGACAGCAGCAGCAGTGATGATCTCACAGCTCTGAGCCTTCATCTACATCAGATGATGGACAAACATCTGTCAGGTCTCACTCTGCTGATGTTTTGCACACGAGCACAGAAACATCAAACAGATCTAACACTTCTCACTTATTTCTCCATCATCTCTGCCTCACACTCTCACACAGTCTGAAGATCAACCGGGTTCTGTCGGAGGAACTTTAGACTGTGTGATGGTTTCACAGTAATGAATATGAGTGTGCTTAAAATAGCATTGTCATGTGGAGTTCTGTCAGTGCTGAACATCTGGCTTTGTGCCACCTACGCTTGTTTGCAGAGTGTCGCTTGTCTAGACTCTCATGACTGGATGGTATGAATTAGTGCTTTTACTGTCCTCCCTGCTTTAGCCGCCTTACATTCTCAGTGGCAGTGATGTCACTGGTATGAATCGTCTGCAGCCACCTCTCCTCAGTTAAGGTTTGAGGATATCACGAGGACATTTGTTGTTGCACAAGAGAATGTTATCTGACAGGTACTGTAACCGAAATTCCTTGTATGTGTAAGCAAACCTGGCCAATAAAGCTTGATTCTGATTCTGATAACAGTGCGCTGTGAATATACAGTGTGAGGTGTAATACTATGTGCAGATATAATACAATGACTTAAATGAGAGATATTTAAGCGAGAATTTACGTGCAGACTTTGTTCTTTATTAAGACTGCTTGTAACATTGCTATCTAAATTAGCATTTAAATCTAATTTTGCTGTTTAGATCTGCTTCACCCACCAGGCAGCAGGTTCACTAACATGAGTTGTATTATATCAGCTCAGAATAATGACAATTTTGTTAAAAAGAAAATCCTGAAGCATCATCACTGATGCACAGTAAGCATCCATATACAAACTGCTAATGAGACTTTATACAATATAACACAGTATAACAGTAACAGACAGTGACCACAGACACGAGTTAGACACCTCAAATGTTCTGGTTCTTCTGGAACCTTCAGGTCTCAGTACAGTAATATTCAGTAGCGTCTCATAATATGTGTGCAGAAAGTGACGACACACTTCAAGCCCTTAAATGTCCAAGGCCGCCAGCAGGCGTAAAGTTTTATTATACACGTCTATAATCTAGGAATAGCGAGCCAGTTTGAGATTATAGAGGGATTAAACTAGCAACTGATATTAAAGCTCTAAATCTGAGCAGCTTCACCTTCAGTTTCACACTGAACATGTAAACAGTCTTGTTACTGTTTGTTCTGTGTGACTTCAACCCGAGTGTCCAAACTTCCAATCAGATCAGAGTAACTGATTAATTTGCTCAAACGAATCAAAAGATTCCGAATGAGCAGCATTAATAACACAGCAACAATACTGTCCTCACAGAGGAAATAAACAATTCACATCAGTATTAAAAATGTACAGTAAAATATGCACAATGTTTAACTCACAAATCTGAACTTCATAAAGCTGTAATTGTGACAGCTGCTGATCTGAATATGAAATGAATATAAAAACTTTTTAATACATTTTTTACTTCCTTTCTTTCGTTTTTTTTTTTGTTTTGTTTTGTATTTTTGTTTTATGCACACATATTAAATCCAGCTTTACTGAATTATTAAACATCTTCACTGCTCAAGATCCAGTTACAGCCAGAACAGCTTTAAAGTGAGCACAAATACTGAAATATTGAGATTGTGTAGGTGAGAACAGCAGTGAATCATCACTCCTTTGAGGAAGAAGCAAATGAGTGAAGATCCAACTCACAACCACCTGAAAGCACAAACTAAGGACACAGAGAAAGGAAATGAAACTGAAATAAACGACTGTACACTGACCAGATCTCACGGAGATATGCCACTCATTTAAAATAAAGGAGATCAGGATCTATATGTGCTGAGTCTTGAAAACATCAGCTTTTCAGTCTGAGTTTTACAAGCAGACGTTTTTAAGGCTCGTAGAATAAAAGAAATACAGAAATCTGGAGTAAAATATCGTTTGTTAAGGTCATTTTTGGGGGGGTGTCATGACCTAATTATGACAGAATCTCAGTGGAATCTGAATGTTCACTGCTGGTGGCATTAGTGTGGTTCAAGTGCTGGGATTCAACGTCCTGTTCCTCAGCGAGACGCCTCTGTCTCCACCGCATCTGTGTGATTATGGTGAGCATGGAACCCAGCAGTAACAGTGAAAAGGTTGCTATTTTAATCAGCATTGCTGACAGTGCGCTCTGTCTCTCTCTCCATCACTGAGAACGTTCCAGAATCCTCCGTGGAGAGCTCACAATCAATGGAGATTCAGAAGGAGGGGGAGGAGCACAGAGGAACCAAACCCCGCCTCCAACCGGCTCATGTGATCTTGAAAAGTCATGGGACAGGAACTAGTATTGTTCCATTTTCTTCACTACAGAAGCTCCTTTTGTCTTAGAAATGAATAGTTTATAAATGAAATCTCATGAAGTGTAGGATCAAATGACTGTTTTGTACAAAGTCTAATGTGTGAACTCCAACCTTTGCTTTTCCTTAGGTTTTTTCACTTGAATTGAACTGAGCAGTGTTAACTTCATGGCCTGTTTCTCTTCTGCGTGTAAAGGGAAGCCTGTCAAATGACAACGAGGTAAAAAAAACTACCAGCATTAGGGTCTGGACAGCCTCCTCCTCTGCTCGGGGGGGGTGAAGTCTTTCTCATACACACGCACAGATCTTTGACAAGGAGCATATTCCAAACATTGCTTGTCCAAATGCAGACAGAGAATGTGAAAGAACTACCCGTGACACGGCTATTTTAGTGAGAGAAATACAAAGAGAGAGAGAAACAGTTTGTGTGTGAGGCCCATGGGACCTGAACAGACTCTTTTCTGCTTGTTTGAGAACACATTCTTTGACAGTGAGTCAGTGTATTAAGTATAAATGTGATCATAGATTTACAGCCACACTGGGAAGAAAAATGAAGAGAGAAACTCAAACTGCATTTAAACACATTTATTAGTTTAAAGAAACACCATTGTCTGAACAGCAGGGAAGTGAAGGTCTGATTCTCCGTCCAGACAGGAATATTACTGTAAGAATTCTGAAATTACACAATTACAGTAAAAAGACTCACTTTAACCCTTACAGTCACAGTAGTTTGACCTTTTAAGGCTGGATGAATATAATATCACTCCATATAAAAACAAAGAGAAAATAAAACCATCCAACACATCTGAACACATGAGTTTTATATTATTATAACCAGCATGTACATCAGAAACTCAATTACTATTATAAAATGTACTTATTTACTTACTAATACTATATTTAATAAACAAAGTGCATTATGATCTCTGGACTGCTGCCTAGATGTGACTAACATTTCAAACTATATTTTTATCATCGTCATATTTTATGGTGATCAGAGTGTTTAGGGTCACTACACTCAAATATCTGCCCTTAATTAATTTCACCGCATTGATAACTGTACACTAATTCATGTTATATTGCTCTGTAATGATTTTACACAGTTTATACATGTTTATGTATCAGCATCAACAGATTTATACATAAAATATATGAGATAAATATGAGATAAATATATCAAATATCTGCATCAGCCCAGTTTCCCTTTCAGTGTATCTGCAGATGTTGAATTTTCAGCTCCTCTTTTGTGATTCAACAGGAAAAATATATTTAACACATAAATATACAAACTGTTAATGAGACCTTATACAATATAACAAATATAACAGTAACAGACAGTGACAGCAGACACGAGTGAGATACCGCAAATGTTCTTGTTCTTCTGGAGGTTCAGAAACAGTTTAAAATGCACCTTCTCTACATCATCCCACATTAGATTCAGCTGCCTGCAGTCTCAGTTACTCTGAGGCTGCTTCTGAGTACAGTAATTATCATTATGTATCTCATAATATGTGTGCAGAACATGACGACACACTTTAACTCCTAAATGTCCAGGCCCGCCAGCAGGCCTTAAGTTTTATTATACATGTCTATAATCTAAGAATAGCCCAGCCAGTTTGTTGCAGGCCCTGCAGTTACTGAATAATAAGCCTTTTAAGATCTTAAACTAGCAACAAATATTAAAGCTCTAAACCTGAGCAGTTTCATAGTTTTACACTGAACATGTAAACAGTCTTGTTACTGTTTGTTCTGTGTGACGTCAAACCCAAGTGTCCAAAATCGGATCAGAGTAACTGATTCATTTACTCAAACGAATGAAAAGATTCCAAATGAGCAGCATTAATAACACAGCAACAATAATGTCCTCACAGAGGAAATAAACAATTCACATCAGTATTAAAAATGTACAGTAAAATATGTGCAACGTTTAACTCACAAAACTGAACTTCATAAAGCTGTAATTGTGACAGCTGCAGATCTGGAAATGAATATAAAAACTTTTTTTATACATGTTTTCCTTCCTTTCTTTCTACTTTTTTTTTGTTTTATGCACACATATTAAATCAGATCCAGTTAGAGCCAGAACAGCTTTAAAGTGAGCACAAATACTGAAATATTGAAATTGTGTAGGTAAGAACAGCAGTGAATCATCACTCCTTTGAGGAAGAAGCAAATGAGTGAAGATCCAACTCACAACCACCTGAAAGCACAAACTAAGCACACAGAGAAAGGAAATGAAACTGAAATAAACGACTGTACACTGACCAGATCTCATGACGATATGCCACTTATTTAAAATAAAGGAGGAGATCAGGATCTATATATGAGTCTATATGCCTGAGCTGTTCAGTCTGAGTTTTACAAGCAGAAGTTTTTAAGGCTCGTAGAACAAGCGAAATACAGAAATCTGGAGTAAAATATCGTTTGGTAAGGTCATTTTGGGCGGGGGGGGTGGGGGGGGGGCGTGTCATGACCTAATTATGACAGAATCTCAGTGGAATCAGAATGTTCACTGCTGGTGGCATTAGTGTGGTTCAAGTGCTGGGATTCAACGTCCTGTTCCTCAGTGAGACGCCTTTGTCTCCACCGCATCTGTGCGATTATGGTGAGCATGGAACCCAGCAGTAACAGTGAAAGGGGTGCTATTTTAATTAGGACCAATAGTGAGTCTGCTTGTTTCACAGTGTTACCTGGAGATGAGAGGAATCAGAGAGTTAGATGTGCTGAATGAAGATGTTCTGCTGGGTGTGTAAAAGGCTATAAGTGAACTGATGTACCTGTAGATGGAGGGAACACCTGTACGAAGAGAACACTGATAGTGCGCTGTGTTTCTCTCTCCATCACTGAGAACGTTCCAGAATCCTCCATGGAGAGCTTCCTCAGCTCCAGGGAGTGCTGCTGTAGATCTGTACGGTGTGAATAAGCTGCTCCACACTCCATCTGCTCTTTCTCCACCTCACACACTCGCACAGAACCATTCCCTCCATCAGGCAGGAAGCTCACAATTACTGGAGATTCAGTGTGGAAGGGGAGGAGCACCGAGGAACCAAACCCCACCTCCAACCGAGTCATGTGATCTAACAAACAGACAAACAGAGCACTGATGTTATCAGAGAAAGACAGTATAAACTAAAGAGGTCTGTGCTCTTACAGTAATATTTGGTTGATGACACTGTATGACACACTATTATAACCTATAAAGCAAAATATACTATCATAATATTTCAATTAATTTTCATAATGCACAGTATGCATCAGCATACTGCCATGACTGTTGGCAAGCGAGCGTATCACAATAATGATAACATGCCATCATTTCTTTTTCTGTTATGTATGTAGTGAATCTTTTATTAAACTCACTCAACACATGTGCTCAGAAATAAAGCTGGTTTCCCACACATACTTTGGCTGATTTTCAAGTTGTACCAATGGAGCAGCTCCCTTATCTCTGTGATAAGGTGAACATGTTTACCTGTAACAGTGAGATTAATCTGTGCAGCCAGTCTGACGGCTTCGTCCTTCACAAAGAAGCACAGGTAAAGTCCCTGGTCTTCATGGCGAGTGTTCTTCAGCTCCAGAGAGATGTTATCCTGCAGGATTCTCTCTTTAGGCAGCAACACTCTGTCTGCAAACGGAGGATCCACATGTAGAGAACCCTGGACCCACACTAGAACCGTCCAGCCTCTCTTCCATTGAACAAATTCAGCTTCTGAATCCATCCAGTCCACACGACCAAAACACGGCAGAACCACCTCATCACCAGCTCTAACAAACACAGCACTAGGAGAAAGAGGAGCTAGAGAGAGAGAAAGAGAGAGAGAGAGAGAGAGAGAGAGAGAGTCTATTTACAGTGCAGGTTGTCTTCAGACTGTACAGACACTCTGAGCTGCTGTGTGTTAAATATTCTCAGTGTGTTTATTCAGTACCTTCCACTGAGAGCTGAAGCTCTGTGAGTTTGAGCTCCTGCTCCTCTCTGAACATCACACATCGATACACTCCGCTGTCTCCATGCTGTGTGTGTGTGATGGTCAGGGAGAAATCTCCATGGCCTGCGCCCCCTGCTGGTAGTTCGGTCCTGTTCCTGTAGCTGATGCTGTAGATGATCTGGTCTCGGTTCAGTCTGATGACCACATGTTCACCCAGCAGCCAGCGCACATCCAGCCGCTTCACAGGTGAGTCTTCATGGAGTTTACAGGGGAGGGTGATGGAGCCCCCCAGATTAACAATCTTAACCACGACTGCAGACAGCGCCCCTAGTGGCAGGGTAGAGGAACATATCAGTAGGAGTGTTAGTGTGAAGTACTACATCTATCACAGTGCATCTAAACTCAGCCCTGATGGTCCACACTTGTCCAGCTCTGTAGCAGCTGTTGAGTATTCTTAATGCAGGTGTGTATAACTGGAGGACTTTAGATCAGTACAGTTTGGTGATTTCACACATATTAAAGTTGGTAATCCTAAGTGAACCAGGCGCAGGGTGAGGTCATTAAGCAGTCAGAACAGGAGCACTGCTAAACGCTACGTTAGTCTTGTAGGGCCAGATGTGAACATCTGGAACGGGGTCAAATTGTGGCAGAGGTCTTTGGTAGGTCCCCTGGTGAACTATGAGGTGAAATTCATATTTCATTCAAACAAATAACACGGCTAACTCATTTTTCCCATGGCACTGAATATATAAATGTTAAGTTACCCCTAAAGTAAAGTTTGAACAGAGCAGAAATAAAACTAAAGCTCCTGCTTCAATAATAAAGAGTCTGTCTTTCTGTCACTGGACTTCAGTCACTCAGATTTGAGTCTTTATCTTCTACACCCTCCTCAGTGCAGCAACAGTGAGCCATATCCACTGGTGGTTTAGCCTTCGCGCTAAGTTAACATTAGCCTTTGGTGCTAACAAGAGTATAAACTAAAAGTAGCTTAAGCTAACAGGTTTATCTGCTTAGATTAGAGTGTTTATCCTCTAAACTGGAGCTTCAGTGAGACGAACTGAACCTGTGCTGTGGTGAAACTGGATTGGTATCTGCAGCGGAGGTTTATGCTGCTTCCCACGGCTCTCGTTGGAGCTTCGGACTCAGGCGCTGACCTCTTATGGCACATCCTCTCATTAGCATGTTGCGGTATTTTGGACCATGATAGATTGAAGCTCATTCATAACATACAAACCAAAGCTGCTTCGTAGTGCCCACGACTCACTTTTTTAGGATGTACTGAGAAAGTCTGTGTTTTCTATGGAAAAACTACACTAGTAACACATTTGAAGTGTCAGTCTGTCCATAATAAGCCATCCAAGCGGAATTAACCATTAAAACCCCACATTTTTAAGTGCAGGCGTCTTTAAAGGAACGAGGTGTAGAGGTGTTCCCTTGTTAGCAGAGAATTTCAACACAATTCAGCAAAACACTTCCTGTTACAAGACCAGATCTGGCCTGAGTCTGAAAGGACTGAACACTGAAAGGACCTTACCAAAATGCCCCACACAGACCAGCTGGCTCTGTTCAGCGGCCTGGGCAGTTTTAGACTGCAGTTTAAGTAGTTGGTATATAAATATGTTCATTTTAGACTTCATGTAACTTAGCTTGCATGCATGATTAGCAACATTAGCATTTTTTACTACTTAACGTAACATAACGTAACAATTAACATATATCAAAACATATCTGGTTTAGAACATGTTTGTTTACCAAAATGATTTTCCAAATTGGTGGTCATTTTCAGTGGTGGACAGTAACTAAGTAAATGTAATTCATTACTGTACTCAAGTAGTTTTGTGTATTTGTACTTTACTGAAGTATTTCCATTTTTGGCAACTATTTACTTTCACTCCACTACATTTCAAAGTCAAATATCTTACTTTTTACTCCACTACATTATGCGAAATCTGTCGTTTCTTTTGGCTTATGTGTGTATAAAAATGTAACATCAAAATGAAAGAAGCGTGAAGCAAGAACACAAATCAGGGCACAGCGCGCACTTTGTTTTGAGTTTGTTTTGACCTCTTGGACATACCGACCCAGTGAAACGGTTCAATGTCAGTGCAGCAGTGTAAAATTCTGGTTAGTCCAACATAAATGATGGACTAACCTAAATTTGTGTAAATAGACCACAATATAGAAATATGTACACATATGCAGTTGTGACGGGTGTCTTTTTTCTGAATTTATACAAACACTATTTCATTTTATAGTAAATTTGTTTTTGCTAGTTTATGTTTATGAACAGAGACCTACAGATGCAATATAGTAAAGGAAAACTCATTTGTGAACCTGTGTTTAAAGTTTTTATTAAACTTAAACTTTAACTAAGTTGTAAATGAATCTTAAACTGAAACTTTGCTTGTTTGCAAAAAGTTATTTCATAGCTACTTGGTTCTACCTAAAGGAAATTGTTTGCCTTCAGTGTTTTGTTCTTATGATAATTTTAATAGACATCAGAGTCAGACTAATTATTGACATTCTATTAAAAGATGGAAGTTTACCAAGAGTGACACTAGAGTGTTTTCACCTAAAATGAGTTAATGAAGCAAGAGTCTTATTACAAAAACATTAAAGTCATAATTAATCTTTCAGTACTTAAGTACATTTGAAGGCAAATACTGTACTTTTACTCAAGTAGAGGTCTAAAGGGAGGAACTTCTACTTTTACTGGAGTGATATTTTACCTTGGGTATCTCTACTATTACTCAAGTACATGATTTGTATACTTCGTCCACCACTGGTCACTTTCCATGTACAATAAACAAATTTAACGTTAAACCTGGATTTACTATTTATGTAACATACAGGTGAAATGATTATTAGCTTCAGTTAGCAACATCATATATAAATCACAAACTGAATACAGCCTAATTATTTTAAAACAGAATTTCTTACCTGACAGTGCATACAGTACGCTAACCCAGCATAGTTGAACAGTCACCATGATGAAAAACGTACCTTTGGCAAATAACAGATTTAATTCACATTAGCATGTGCAGTACAAGACAAACATGAGAGTTTAAAGTCAGACAAGGTGTCCTACAGTATGGATCAGATTATAAAACTGTGCAAGACAAAAGTTCATTAGAAGACACTCAAAGGAGCTGATTCAGTAACAGACTGAAACACATATGCTGTAATCAGACTGTATAATGAGTCACTCTACAGCAGGGGCTGTACGGACCCCAAGCTCATGATTAACTTGCCCTATACTCTACAGAATTTCACTTTCTCTGTAAACACATCTGCCCACTCAGTTATACACAGGAATTATGCTGCATTACCACAGCTGCACTATACCTCATGAACTTACTCTTGCACTACTTACTAATTTATAAGTCAAGTGCTCTTTATTATGTCCTGCAATGTTCGTATATAGTTGAGCTCTTGATCCCCCTTACACCCTTTTAGTGGATACATGTTAGTGTTGTTCAAGTGTTTTGAAGTTCCTGCTGCTGTAACAATGCAATTCTCTTTGGGACCAACAAAGATTTGTCTATCTGTCTATGAGAAAATCTGAACCAACCAGAAAAACAACCGCTTTATGTGCTAAAGTAAGTAGTGGAAACCTCCACTACTATCAGGGCCTGAGAGAAGAATGGGAATCATATCAGCGGCCAGCCACTTAGAGACGTTTAAAGTTTACAGGATTTATTTATTCGCTGACATAGCTTGAGTTTCTATTTTCCTATTAGATATTCAGCAGATAAAGAGCGAGGCTCTGTGCTAACATTCCTTCAGACAACAAACAACACAGCAATACAGAGCAAAAAGATGATTTTACTCAGGGAATTTACTGAAACACATCAAATGATATTTATTATATAAACTTGAGCTAAAGGAGCGTATTTTGAGCAGCTTTGCATAGACAGAGAGGATTCATGATCCTAAAAATAACCATAAAAATATGACCTCTGGTGTAGCTTAGCCACTGGTAACAGAACACAGTTAGATCATGTCTGATAATAACTCAGTGCTGTGTAAATATGTTCCACTTGCAACGTAACTAACGTGATATCTCAGAGATCAGAGCAAATTCACTGAATATTTAGTGAGTCTCTGTATAAACAGCAGGTTTACATAATGATCTCTGACTCTGTAATAGGCTACAAGCCATTACTACTGACCACAAGAGTGTTTATAAATATAATTATCATTATACAAATAAAACATGTACAATTCTACAAGTATACAACCACTGTCAGAGCAATACATCATTAGACAGCAGCAAACCAGAATATGAAAACAGTATATTCAAACACTGAGCAAGCTAAGATATCAAAATAAGTAAAGATATAATCTAACAGTGTTTATACACTGTAACACACACACACACACACACACACGTGTACCGAAGGAAACCCCAGTTAATTATTTGTAAGTTTCTCTTCATAAAGCTGGTCATAGTAATTTATAGTAATTCAAAAATCTATTACTTTTCTTAGTTATTACAAGGTGCAAGGTTTGCAGCAGTGATTTAAATTTTGTTAAAAAAGAGGCGCAGGGCTGACTGAGAATTTAAAAACTTCTGTTTGTGAATAAAGACTTGAGCCTGTAGAATGAAGAAGTTAACATTGCACTCTAGGCTTTATAAGGACTTACACTGTTTAACACGAAGTCATGTGTAGCCATAAAGTGATCATAAGAAAGCACATTTCTAGATTTGTCAAATACAGAAAGAATACTATTAATATTTCTTTGAGACCGTTTGGAAAAGAACATTTATTCCTAATAGTTATTCCGTAAAAAATAGAAAGGGTTCTATGCAGGAAATAACTGTGGACGAAGCAGTGTTTCCAGGCAAGCAGAGCTCACTGATGAAACTTGGAAAGAGAAACTGGGAGCTTATTTGGCATATAGTTACATTTCAAAAGAAAAGATATGCCTCTGATCTTGTTAAAAATATGACTGGGGATGAGAAACTACACTGAATTTGGGTTCATCATACACTTTCTAAGCCAATTAATTCGAAGGGTATTTATAATATCAACAAAATCTAATACTTCCACACTGCCTCCTGCTCTGATGTGTGATGTGTGAAGCTTGTGTCACTTATTTTTCCAGATAAAGTCCAGAAATATTTTATTGAGTTCATGAGCTGTTGAATCTTTAATAAAAATAGATATTGAAGGACATACAAAGTGAGACAGCCCCTAAGCCTTGGATAATAAAACTATATAACCATAAGAGGATAAATCTCTGTGAAGCCAGAGGTTAAAAGTATGTTTAGTATATTTTGTCTTGGTACTTAACAGTGTTTTTAAGTGCAATATCTCACATCACGGTATCTATACAGTCACAAAGAGATATTGTCTCACATTTGGCCTTGTTTAGTTTTAAACCCAAAGCTAGAGAAAAATACTCAACCAAAAAAGGTACTGTCAGCTGCCAACTGAGAGATTTTAATTTATGGCCAAAAATTGAGATTCCTTTTCATGTACTATACTTAATGGTAATAATTCTGTGACTAAAATTTATAAATAGGGTGAAGTTGTCAAATAACAATCATAGAACTATTGATCCCTTTACACAACATACCAATAATATCAATAAATCTATCACCAAATCCAAATAATTGGAGAAACCTTGTTCAATTGTGTAAAAAGGCTTTACAGAATTCCAAAAAAGAATAACAGCTTTAGAGTGAACTGAATTTGCATAATCTAATCTACGATCCAATATCAGTCTCATGTTGTCGCTAATATGCCGACCCTTTACAGAACCAGACTGTGTTTCTGAAACAAACTGTGGTTAGAGTTTTGTAATCTATAGTTAAAAGTGTAACAGGCCACCAATTATCTAATAATAAAGTATCCTCATCAGGTTTAGGAATAAGTGACATAATTCCCTGTTTCACAGTCGTTGTCATCTCTCTCTCTGATCGATGCATTCTTAATACATATTAAACAGAAGATATTTAATAACTTCCCAGAAATGTATATAAAATTCCACAGACAGACAATCTATACCTGGCGATTTCCCTTTATTCACTGAAAACACTGCCAACTTCATTTCAACAGTCAAGCTAGAGTCACAAAGGACTCTAGATTGACTGTTTTCCTCAATAACTGGAATGTGATGGTAAATTAACAAACCGCTCACAGCTTTTCTCATCAAAACTAGAGGCATAAAGATTGCCATAAAATGAAGTAACATGATTAGATATTAATTTAGAATCTGTACACTGAACACCATCAATATTAAGTGCAGTCTGAGATTTCCTTTACCGTCTATTTTTGAAAGCAAAAAAATAGTGTTTTTTCCTCTCTTCCAGCCATTTGGCTCCAGATCTTATAAACACACTCTTTGCCAGATCAAAATAAATTTAATTTACCTGCAGATTTCTTTCTTTATTCCAATTCCTCTTTATCAGAAATTAGATTTTTATTCAATAAAACATTGATCCTAGTAGAAAATTCTGATTCTGATTTAATTATCGAGACTTTTAACTCCTTTCTTCTCCGAAGAGGGAGGGGCATTTGAAAATGGGAAAATTTCCAATTTTCTTTGTGGCTTCCTTTTGTAGTATCAGAGATTTCTTTGACCAAATATTTCACACTTTTATCAAAACAATCATCCTCCAAGAGAGTGTCACTAAACTCCCAATAACCTCTCATCCTACAAATCTCCACTGAGTTTTGTGATCTGATAAAGGAGCAAATGAGTGAGACACACTATTATATGAGGAGGAAATGAATCAGATAAATTCACATTAGACCAGAAAATATCTAACATATTTGGACTGCAAGAACATGGACAGAAATGGTTTGACCAAAACACCTCCTGGACACAATCACCGCTAAACGTCTGTTGCTTAGATGTATGAAATTGTGGGAGACGGAACAGAAAAACAAGTTTTCCCCACTTTGTTGTTAACCCAGACGTCACCGGCTAGCAGCTCCTTCTCTGCCCTGCCAGCAGCCAAACCAGTTCGGACACAATTGTTTATAGCACTTTACTGTGACCTCCCAAACACTCAGTTATTGCACTTCGGTAAAGTTTCACAGTGAAATGAAAGAAGACAAGAGACTAAAACCACAGCATCTACTAAACTACACCCTCTTCTGATTAAATATGACAGAACAGGACACAACACAGTCGCTTATCACCGTTTTTGTTCCCACAATAGAGTCTGGCTGCAGGTCTGACTGCAGAACAGGAGGCAGCAGTTCCAGGACCGCAGTTTCAGGACTGCAATTCCAGGATCATATGTTTTCGCGACACTGCTTCCTAGCGAAGTGGATACAAGGACCGCATTTAACGCGTGGAAAAGATGGATGATGACAGTCGGAGTGTGAGCATAGAACGTGAATCAAGTTTTATATAATTAACGTTAAAACGTTCTGGTGTTTTGAATTAGGCAGCAAAGTTAACGTACATAGTACATAGTACGTACTACGTAGTTAACAAAGTTAACGAACTGTTAGCCTGCTTTTAACAAAGTTAACTACATAGTCAAGGCACTATACGCAGTTATCTGTTAGCTAGATTGCTTCAAAACGAACTGTTAGCCTGCTTTATTGGAACCGTAGCACCGTTTTGGCAAGCCTAACTAGCATTGTATCATATATTAATTATTACCGTAATGGTTATGATAATGAATTCTACCCAGCACATTAATTAGAACTCAAAAGACGATAAAAGAATGTCCGTATAATATATGTCTGTCCACTGCATTAAATCATCATAGCTGTTTGTCTTCAGTGTAAATACTCAATACTTACTGTTCTACCATTTAAGTTTAAATAATCTTACTAATTAAACTGTCCTGACTCTCTGTTTACCCCACTATACGTGGTGTTCATTCTTAATAGTCATTATATCAAAAGGTGTTTACAGACCTATGACCTACGACAAAGACATGCGGTTCTGTATTCTGTATTGGTATAACAGTATATTTAAAAAATATTGTTTAAAAATAATCCTTTTCCTTTGGTAGGCCATTATATATGGCCTAGCTGTGCTGAAGAATTTATCCTTGCAGGAGGCTGAGCAGGTCTTCCTCTGTGCTCCAGTTTATCAACACGGGTAAGAGTAGAGAATGTAATTGTTTTTACATAACGGCATAAAATATTGGCCAATTCTTTAAATTAAAAAGTAGTAACGTCAATTAATGTACCATGAAAGTTATTTCTGTTAAGTGAGCAGTGGTTATGTTGTCTTTTTACTATTTCAGTGAAGTGGAGGAATTTAACAGAGTGATAGATAAACAATTGAAGAAAGAAGGGAGACCATTCCATTGGTAGGCAGTGCATTAGGTAGAAAACATTAGGTTTTCTTGCATCTTTCTCACATCTCTGCGATGGTTGAGAAACCATCCCAGTTTTAAATGTCTCTTTTTAACCCATTTGCTTTTTGTGTGTGTGTGTGTGTTATTGAGGGGTATTATATCTTACGTGTTGAATGTTGTTGGTTGTTATTGTTGAGATATTAAATAAATATTATGGCACCAAAGCCTTTCTTGTGTCTCAAATATCTGGTTGAGATTTGGTGACTGTAAAAGCAGTATGTGCAATTGATTGTATCTTTATTTTTACATAATTACACAAAATGCAACTCTTAATAAACAAGTTTCATTATAAGACAAAGTAGTATCTGGATGGAACAAGCCTTTAAAACTGTAAGTTAGATAAAGTTGTAGTATTTGGATGGAATAAGCCTTTAAAACGATAAGTTAGATAAAGTTGTAGTATTTGGGTGGAATAAGCCTTTAAAACTATAAGTTAGATAAAGTTGTAGTACTTAGTTGGAACAAGCCTTTAAAACTATAGGTCAGATAAAGTTGTAGTATTTGGGTGGAACAAGCCTTTAAAACTATAAGTCAGATAAAGTTGTAGTATTTGGGTGGAATAAGCCTTTAAAACGATAAGTTAGATAAAGTTGTAGTATTTGGGTGGAACAAGCCTTTAAAACTGTAGTTATGTAGACAGGAAGGAGCAGGGGGCAGTGTCGCAAAAACATATGGTCCTGGAATTGCAGTCCTGAAACTGCGGTCCTGAAACTGCTGCCTCCTGTTCTGCAGGAATATAGTATAGTGCAGACATGCACTCTCAGCCTGACATGCACCGCCAGCCTATTGATGACGTCAGTGCACGCTCTGCCACAGCAGTGTTTCTGTCCGTTTTATGAGGAAAAACAGCGAACCACGTACTGCTGGGCAACACGACTTACACTGAATGTATATTAACTTTGTCATACTGATAATAAGATAATTAAATATGGAAACTTTCAAAATATAACCAACCACAATGATAAGACATGAATGTCGGGTTTATTCGCAGAAAAAACAAAAATGCTACCGCCCAAACTCATGAAAGCCATGCTGAAGACGATTAGAACAGGTTATCAAAAACTGTAATATTGATTAAAATAGAATATTTTTAAGGATTCTAGAAGGTTGTGACAACGTACAGTCAACGTAGTGCCGATTACTTTTGCTGTCTCGTCAGCGTTGTCACAGCTTCCTAGAAAGTTGTCAGACAACGTTGTCATAATTCTGAGGAATGACATTTCATCGTTGTGACAATGTAGAGAGCACCAAGCGGACAACGTTGTGGGCACCAAAACAGTACGTTGTGGCAAAGTAACTGTGTTTGCAGGGCCGTTAGGAATAAAACCTGGTGGTTTTGCTTCCTAGAGGGAATTGGCTTGATGGTTGCCGATAGAGGCCATTAGGAAACGATCAAATCTACCTGGAATCAGTCCCAAAACACCTGATTAAACGATCAGAATCCTTTACACTGTGATATCAAACCATCAGGAAAACACAGAATACCATTAGTAATACCATTACTGAAAACCACCAGAAACCAACAGACGCTTTTAATGGGTTCTGTGATTTTTGTTCAACAGGGGGGTGCATTAAATGTAATCATCTAGCTGTGTTATGGACGAAAAATGGATTAAGTGATGAAATCGCTAAGCAGCAGCAGCCAAAAGTTACCGCGCCGTTGGGCTGCTTCTGCCACTGTGGCAGAGTGCGCGTGTGCAAGTGACGTCACGGGCTGAGAGAGCAGCTGGCAGCTTTCTGTTTGCGTATCGAGTTGCAGTGCTGGGGCAGTCGCACAGAAACGTTCACGTGACTTTTTATTATGTATAGAAAAGTATATTGTTTGCAGCAAAACAATTAAATAAACAACCTTAGAAAAAGTAATACATATAATTTTCTGCCAGAAAATATTATTTTCTCTCTTTCTCTGTGGCCTTATGATTTCAGAAATTTAGTTTGGTGTATCACAAGGCTTCTTTTGATAAATATTGAAGTCATTTATTTGATTAAAAGCCATTTATCATACAGAGAGAGAAATTAATATTTTTTGCCTGAAAGATTGTTATAAATATAATACATTTTCATAAGATTATGTTTATTTAACTGTTTTGCTGTAAACAATATACTTTTCAATACATCATGCAAAGTCACATGAACGTTTCTGTGTGTGTTCAATTTGAGTGTAAGTGGTTCCGGATGACTGAACCACTACTTAAGAAGTGTGTAAAGTGTGATGAGCAGAACAGTCTCACCTTCAGTAGCTCCACTGTGGAGGATCCTCCTGTTGTGTGTTGGGTTGAGTTTAAAGCTGTTTCTCCAGAAGTTCAGATATAAAACAGTCCAAATAGCCGAAGTTCAGCCCACCACCTGTTACGCCGCCGACTACCAGCCAATCAACGATGGCTGAGGCAGAGCCGAAGATTCATGGCACTGACGTCAAAAAAAAAGACAGTAGTGGTGTATAAAAGGCTCGGAGACTTCCGGGAGCACATCACTTTCAGACTCACGTCCTATAGGTATGGTTAGTGACGTATATACCCAGCTAGTTCACTGTCGTAGACGGAATGAAGGCTGGTGTTCAGCGTATGCCACTCTAAAGTCTAGATTCACCCACCTGTGACTGTTAATGTTCAGTATTTGTTCCTGTGTGGTATTTAAGGTACTGAGTCAATGACAGACAGAAATGCCCGTTGCTGTTATGTTTATGTCTCTTAAGTTCAACCCCGCACTCGCCTGTGTTCAGTGTGAGAGGAGACGTCAAAGTCATGATTTTTATGGAATAATTGCCTGCAGGACGTATTAAGCTACTTATTAAGAAGGCTGTGATCCTTCATATAATTCAGTTAAAGTGACACTTGTACCGTAGTTAAGGGTTAGCAGCGCCTTTATTTGGGAAAATTGCCACTGCGTGGAAACACCTGTTTGTAGTATCTTCGAATCGCCAGGGGGTGTCGCCATTGTCCTTTATGCAAACTAGTTAAGGAGCGCTATTATTTCTCTGAAGAGCAATATTCTCATTTTTATGTAACTCTAGGTTACTGTTTCTGCTAAAACGGGCTTTGTAATGTTTACATAAAGCTTTTGTTTGATTTATTTTGTTGATTTATTCTGTAATTTCAGACTGAGGAATATCAAGATGTACTGATAAATACTGCTGGAACACAATACAGTTAAAAGAATTAATTACAGGAATTAAATCTCTTCATCTTCATTCCTGCATCCAGTTTACTGCCAAACCCAAAGCTAGCCCTGCATCATTACCTCATAAACGGATAGCAAATGACTGTTGTTGCTTGTTGATCATTTGACTCTTTAGAACAGGATATAAGCAGATTTTTCAGAGAACTGAACCCAGGTGTGCAATGACACCACAAATCTGTTTGATCTGGTCACAACTTCCTTCTTACTCAACCCACTTTCACCAAATTTGTTTCGTTATAATCCTCAGACAAAGGCTAATCTAGGTTGCATGGGCTGCTCTCGGTAGCTTTTATTTCCATTTAATAACTTTGATCGAAATGAAATGATGAAAAATCCACCTTTTCAAATTCAATATAAAAATGATTAATCTTTCAGCTCTACTGGTCAACTGTCTGCTCTGCACCTGACCTTAAAACCAGAGTTCAGCATGAGCTCTGATGGACATACACTCTCACACATATCGGCAAATCCATCAGTGTGTCAGTCAGCTCTAATCCTCGTGCTCGTAAGAATGCAATAAACCCCCAAAACACAGCCCTGCTGGAAAAAAAATCAAAAGGTTCTACTGGTGTCCAGTAGTCTCTAATGGTATTCTGTGTTTCCTGATGGGTTGATGTCGCAGTGTAAAGGACTCTAAAGGTTTGACAGGCGTTCTGGGACTGACACCAGATGTATCTGATGGTTTCCTCATGGGATCTAAAGGTGTCCTACAAGAAACTAATGGTCTCTAAAGGTAACCATTAAGTCAATTATAAACTAAAAAGCAAAACCAACAAGCTTTAACCCTAATGGTTCGAATGGTCTTTTTCAGCAGAGAGTAAGAAGGACAAGGCTGAATTCAGCTTCCTATTTGATTTCTCCTGGTCCACCTTAAATGGTGCAGCAGTTACATTCTGGCTCCTCAGTTGTTATAGTAGTAACTGATGCACCATGATGGTGGGATGGGAAATTCTGAACAAGAGGCTGGTGAATGAGCAGCTGGTGTGGGAAGGTGCTAATCTGTTGTGAACAGTGTTGGGTAGTAACAGGATACAGGTAACGGCCTTACATAATCAGGATACAAAAAAAAAAGTAACTATATTCCGTCACAGTTACAATAAAAAAGACAGTAATCAGATTACAGGTACATCATAAAAACAGGCAGGGTATGCCTCTGTCAGGAGAGGAATTTGAGGAATCCCAGCCCACGATCTTTATCTGCAGCGTTAATCTGAGTCAGTAACCCACGTCAACAGTTTCTACAGCAGCACACTGATCTGATCTGGCATTTGTACAGTTCTACGCTTTGAACAGCTATAAATCAAACTTTTGATTTGTTTTAGAATGAATGTTTTAGAATTTAAAATGTTGATTAGGGACCGTCTACAGATTTTCTGAGTGTATTAAAAAAAAAACAAGCAGTTCTTTCACACATCCAGCCTTCCAAACTCCGGAGCGCCATCTGTTCAGCAGAGAGCATTGTTTACTCACAGCACCACTTAATGAAGACCATAGATAACACACACCTGTTAATAAACATCATCACTTAATAATTTATTTAAATTTCTTTCACACATTAACAAAATCCTCCAAAATCTGATGTTTATTGAGATTTCTGAGATGTTTATCGGTAATGAAATAATAATATTAATACAGACATTGCCCTGCAATGGACTGGTGACCTGTCCAGGGTGTATCTTGCCTTCCACCCAGTGACGGCTGGGATAGGCCCCAGCTCCCCCCATGACCCAGAAGGATAAGCAGCTTAAAAGATCTCAGATCAACTCATTTTATACTACACTGTAAAAAGTGGTTCATCAGATCTACCTAAAAAATACTTCATGTGGTAACAAGCAATTGAACTAGTTGTATTCAACTCAAACAAATACTTATATTGTCAGTGTGGTTCTGATAACACAGCACAGCTTCCTGTTCCTAAGTGAGTCTTCTCTGTCTCCACCACCTCAGAACAACAACCACGATAACCACTATCACCACCATCACCACAACTACAATGACAGCTATAACACTGATAGTCCATAACCTCCTTAAGGTGGACCTGGAGATGAGAGGAATCAGAGAGTTAGATGTGCTGAATGAAGATGTTCTGCTGGGTGTGTAAAAGGCTACAGGTGGACTGATGTACCTGTAGATGGAGGGAACACCTGTATGAAGAGAACACTGACAGTGCGCCGTGTTTCTCTCTCCATCACTGAGAACGTTCCAGAATCCTCCATGGAGAGCTTCCTCAGCTCCAGGGAGTGCTGCTGTAGATCAGTACGGTGTGAATAAGCTGCTCCACACTCCATTTGCTCTTTCTCCACCTCACACACTCATACAGAACCGTTCCCTCCATCAGGCAGGAAGTTCACAATCACTGGAGATACAGTGTGGAGGGGGAGGAGCACAGAGGAACCAAACCCCATGTTTGGTCACATTATCTGACAAATAGACAAACAGAAGACTGATGTTATGAGAGAAAGAGAAAAAAAAAGAAAATATTAGTTTCTAACTATTTTGATACTGTTACAAAACACTGTATTTTCTTATATGAGCCATTACTGTGTTATCGATTGGTCAGGCCTGTGATCGATGTGTGATTGGTTCTTACCGAGCACGGGAACCTAGAGAGTGTAAAGTAATGCAGCTGTGAGCTGTACTCAGCATGTTTGCTTTAACACTAATAATCATTCGCTCCCTCAGGTATGAAACATTTGCAGAAATTGCAAGTATGATGTCTACAGATGCATTCTTGTGTGAAATCGTTTTAATAGTGGATTTTCAAGATGATAATTTCCAAGATATTGAACTGCAACTTATTTGGCCATCAGATTCCTCAATTCTCATGGACTGAATTGAAAGACACCAACATAGACACATGCACACATACACATATACACACAACAATATACACACAACAATATAAGACCATCTCATTCTCCACTTCTTGGAGGTCCGGATTGTCTATGACACTGTGTTTAAATATAATTATTGCATTTCACACTGAAATACTTCACTTAACATAATTCTTATATCTGACTTCTTGCATTTTTACACATTTTACTTTAACAATGTTAGCTGCTAGAATTACTGTATCACACAAATACTGTATTTCATTGCTGTTCTGGTTGATACCTCAGTGACTGCTATGCTCACATATGCTAGGCTACCTGCTAATCTGTTAATATGTCATAGTATGTTACATCCTCCTCAACTCCACATACTCTCAGTACCGTGTACTCTCAGTGCCTGTGTTCTGTTTAGTATTTATTGTAAGTTTTTTTTTTGTATTTATTGTACTGTACTGTCTGCACTGTGTATATTGTATTGTTCTGCACTTGTGTTCCTGTGTTGGTCCTGGAGGAATGCTGTTTCATTTCACTGTGTACTTGTATATAGCTGGAATGGCAATAAAGCCTCTTGAATCCTGAACCTTGAATTTACTAACTTTATTCAGCATTTCTAAACTGCATGTAGCTAGCTTAGCCATTGACATGGTGCACTGACAAAAGCTAAAATAGTAAAATAAGATACCCAGTCTGGTTCTAAGGAGTTGTATTTACCAGGGGATTTATGTAGCAGTTGCAAGCTTATGCATTTTGTGCTGTTCATATTCTGTACTGAAACCTAAGCCATTTTACTAGTGGAGTGAGTAATGTTAGAGGGCTGAGTAGTACAGCTACTGTTTTGATGTATTTGAGGTTTGCTGCTCTGGGTTATGTATTCAAAATGTGACTAATAGAGTTAATGATGTATATAAAGTTCAACAACTGTAAGCACTAAGTTGATTAGGTACTATTGTTCTGTGTAGGTACAAATTGTGGGATATATTCCAAGTGACTTTTCAAGCAATTTCACTGTCGCAGACAAATGTCCAATGTCGGAATACATCATTAGAGTTTTGTCAGAGTTGTGTCGCACTCGCATCATCTCAATCGTTTGGTGTGAAGTGGTCAGTCTGTCTTAGTTGAGTGTTTTCTCGTCTTGACGCTATGACAAAATCAACCGTGTTTAATATTATAATTAGTTGTAAGTCTTGGCTCATGCAAATAGTGATATGCCAGGGGAGAGAGAGGGCGCGGGCGAGCACATCTAGTTGCAGCCTTGCAAATAGC